CAGGTGTTGGTACCTCGGCTGTGAGCAGCATGTTGTTGACCAGCTCCATGTACGCCTTCATCTCCGCCCTCTGAACATCGTCCAGTCCGTCGCTCAGAGAGTGACCCTGAAACCAAACAGACCTTCAGTCAACAGATCAACGACACACCTGGAAACATCTGGAGCTTGACGAGTTTTTTGTATTTCAGAAATACACAAAAATATTAACAGAATACTAGAAACAGAATGTGAATGCACTTGTCAGACATTACATATAATGTAAAAAAATAAATTAACTTTCATTTTTAAAAGAACTTTTTTGCATAAAAAGCGTGAACATGTGATTTAATCATAATTTCAAAAAGTACGGTATTTTTACTATTATATGTGTTTTTGGAATACATGAAAATATTAACAGAATATCAAACACAGGCAGAACTTATCTATCGAATAAAAAATAATAAAAACTTTAACTTCTATTTTTAAAATATTTTTTTGGTATAAAAAGTCTAAAAATATAACATAACCATATATTCACAAATTGTGGTATTTCTTTTTTGTTTAATAAATACAAATAATTCATGTTTACTGCTGTCATCATATTTCCAAAATTGGACATAATTAGTGAAAAATAATTCTGCAGATTTATTTTTTATTTTTAACATATATGAGAACATTATTAAACAGAATGAAAACAGAATGTGAATTGAAATGTTGAACATAAAACAGCATTGAAAACCTGTAAATGTAAATAACCATTCAATGTTTGTGTTTTTACAGAGAATGTAAAAATCTGAACTAAAGACTTAAATTTCCTGCGATATCACAAATATTTCCTGAATTATTTAATAGATGAAGCTGTAAAGTTAAGATTTAATGATTTGAAATATATTTCTAAAATTATTCAAAATTAGTTACAAACAATAATCTGTATTTCTAGGATTTTTTTCCATATTTTTGAAATACATTAAACAGATTTCCTAAAATTACAGATTGTGAATTTACATGTTTAATGTAAAACAACATTAAAACCTGTAACTTTGAATAACTATTTAATTCCTATTTTGTTTTAAAGAGAATGTGAAAAGTTTGACCTAAAAATGTTGTGATATCACAAATAAATATGTCCTTTAAATTAATAAGACGAAGCTGTTTAATTCAAGTTTAATGCTGAACATAGATTTCTAGAATTACAATTAAATGTTGGTTCCGTCATTTCACAGATTTATTTGGTAAACGGGCGACATGCTTTATAACATCTTCTATACCAGTGTGTATTTTTAATTACAGGTACTCTTGATGCCCGAGCTGCTAGAAGTTCCCTCTTTATTTACTGTGTGCCTCTGATCCATAATGAAGCTCTGATAAGAAGCGACAGCGCTACGTCACCTTGGCTTTGGTGAACTGAACTATGGGTCCCAGTTCTGACACCACCTGGTTGCCCACGTGGATGAAGGGAATCTTACCTGGAAAGACAACAGAAGACGTCAGACAAGCAGCAGCTTTTAACGACCGACGCTGAGCAGCAAGAATCCACGTTACACTGGCTGCAGTTCAACACAAACCCCTGAGTACTGGTCACTCCTGGCTTCACCGCCGCGTCAATGAGAGCAGAACCTTTTGGTTTTTACAGAATCTGACTGTACAAATGGTTTATCTTGTTACAATTACAAATGTAGAATAAAGCAATGTTGAACAAATATCCCAATTTCAAGGTTAGATTTGGCTAATTTTCCTTTTCCATTCATGAAGTCCTGTAGCTCCAGACCAACATGAAGAAGGACAGAGAACTCAGAGGTGTCTTCTGTCAGCAGTTAGAACAATGAAGACCAGAGAAAAAGGATAAAAAGCTGGATTTCTGTCTAAAACAACCACAAAGAGACGCAAAGAACAACTACATGATGCAGCAAAGAGACAAAATGACCTGAAAAGATGCAAAACAACACAACATAGATGAAAACCAAGAACTTAAATTAAACTGATTCTTTCTGTTTTTACAGTTTCTGGCTGACAAATGCTGGAACTGTGTTGATTTATTAAAACCAGACACATCTCTTGATCTCTGCTCTGCTCATCAGCTGTAGAAAGATGTTCCACCATCAGCTGGATGTATCTCCAACAACCGGCTCCTCTGTTCACTGGTTCTGAGCCATGCTGCATTTATTTATTGATCCAGTAGGTTGGATTTTCCTCTCAGTCTCTCTGAGGAAACACTGCCTGCAGTTCACCTGGAAACTCTGTGAAAGTTTGTCTCAGCTGATTCACCAACGTCTCAATGAATTGATTGATTTTTACAGAATCTGTTGAAGCAAACTGTATATTTTTGATGGACTTTTAACAGAAACATGTGGAATAAGTTAAATATCTGACTATTCTTTCTGCTTTTACAGTTTCTGGCTGATAGATGGTGTCCTTTGGTCATTTTCCTTCAAAGACAACAAGCTTTATAAAGCAGCTGGCAGGTTCCGGGGTCATTTCCTGTTCTGTAAACCAGAGACTAAGAAGAAGAGCAGAGCAGCTCGTGTACTGACCAGACGGCGACATATACTCGGCGTTCGCTCTGTAAACCACCTCCACAGGTAAACCGCACATCCTGAGGTAGGCCTGCAGGAAAAACAGGACATTAGGAGATTCAATCAGTGACAAATTATCCATCAGATATTTATGTCACGCTTTGAGCCTCTGAACCCCACAAATAAGAAGGTGTGTGGCCAAAAATCAGACTTTTTATGAACCAGAAAGTGTAAAAACAAAAAGAATCTAAGTTTCTTTTAACCTCCCAATGATTTTTGACCTCCTCATCTATAAGAAACCTGACTACACCTGAGCTTAAAGCTGTGATGTTCTATCAGAATCACTTCTCATTTCAAAACGGGTCCAGAATTCACTAACCAGATGCTTATCTCTCCAGTCTGAGGAGCCTCCATGTGCTCCAGAGTTTAACGTCTGTGGAAACAGGTTGGACTTGATGGCTCCTGCATGTTACATGTTTGTAAAACAAATAAAGAAATGTTTGGATTTTGGGAGACTTTCTGTTATTCCAACTGTGTCGTAGAGCACCGAACACAGATTAGAGGCTTCAACTCACTTTGGAAAAGCCGATTCCAACATTTTCTGAGTGAATCTGGACACGTTTCAGTCATTTTGGAGAGTTTTTGTAAAATAAATCAAATTAAATAAATGATGTAATAAATAAAAGTTTCATTTCTCTCTGGTTTAGAAGACATCTAGACATCTCTGAGTTCTCTCTCCTCCTTCTTCATGTTGTTCTGGTTCCTCAGAGCTGCAGGACTTTACGTTCCAGAGAAACATGAACCTCAGTGAAGGAACACGAGACAGGGGCAGGAAATAATGGCACAGAAAGTGTTTGGGGTTCAGAGGGTTAAATAATAAGAAGCTCACCTGGACAGCGAGCGATGAGGCGCAGTCTGACAGCAGGATCTGATCTTCTGAGGAAACAAAACCACAGCACGACTCAACAAGTCAGCAACAAGAGCAACAGAAAACCACCAAAAAATGTGAGACAGAATAATATTAATCGAACCGCTGCGGTGCAACAGAGACGCTCTGGCTGACAAATAGGATTCTTCAGATGCAGAAAAACTCACATCATCATTTTCATACTTCTAAATATAATATAAAGTGTTTACCAAATGTATTAAAGCACCTGTCTAGTTCGTTAAGCACTGTGTGTGAATATATGCCTCCAATTAACTCAAATGTTGCCAATTAACCAATCAAAAGCTTCCAAAGCCATGACATCATCATCATCATCTGGGCTTTCCCACATAGTTCATAGTAATCTTAGTGGAGGTGAACTTCTATTTAGCAAATAGAAATAATTTTAGTAATCCTAACTGACCTAAAACAGGAAAAGTTTAGTCACATTTAATTAATGTCAGATAGTGAGAAAAAAAAGGTTTGATGTCTTTTTATACAGTAAATATAACTACGTATAGTTATATATATATATATACATATATGTATACATATAAAAGTGATAAACTATAAGTTATATGTAGACCATCCAGTGTCATGAAGTGCTTTAATGCCACTCAGCTCTCACTCAGCAGAACATTCAACCACTAAAACGAATGTTTCTGTTCAGGAATGCAAGTAAAATAACTCTAATCTGACATCTGAATCAAGAAATAATAATCATGTGCTTTACTAGTTTCTCAGTTTTTTTGATAAAACAGTAAATTTGAAAATTCATAGAAAACAATAATAATTATATTTAAGCATTAAAAATATCATTTTGGTTAAAGAGCTTCACATACTGGTGTATTAACCATCACAGAAACATAAGACATGATTTAGATAAACCTCACATTGATCTAATAAACTTGTTAAGTGCTGTATATCTGTCCCTACTTGACAGTTTTTATTCAGCCCTAAACCAACACAAGCCACCACACTGAGTCCAGTTCCTGAGCTTCTGACCAACTCACCCTTCAGCGGCTGGTACAAGGTGGCATTTTCAGGCCACGGCTCAGCAGCTGTTGGCGGCAAAAAAAGACACACGAGTAGTTAGAAGGAGACTCTGGATCACCAAGGTGACTTCAGCAGAAAGCTTTCCGCTGTTTAACTCGGTATATTCCCGATGAAATCACCGTCACGTCTGCTGCATGTGTGGTAACAGACGCCACGCTGTGTTTAGCTTTGGGCAGTTTGAGGAAACAAATCGCTCATCAGACAAATCGTGAAAATACAAAACTCTTAATTATTGTTCAGGGAGTTTCAGGTTCACGTCAGAAGTAGGTTCAGTAACAGAAACACGATTTATTCCAGTTTGTGGCTGCATTATGTACAAGAAAACTCTCAGTTGTCATTTTGTATGGCTGATCTAAGTCTGTCTGATAGAACATCATTTACTGATTTAAAAATTAGTGGAGTTTGTTTTTTATAACTTTACTGAAGACACAGAATTTGTCGACTCCACATATTCACAGCAACATGAAGGAGAAGCAGGAGAAAAACACTGAAAAGGAAGATCTGTTTGCCAGAAAGAAACGTCAGTAACAGTTGCATTAATCGTGATTTAGATTTCTCTTAGAAAACAGCCCATGTGGGCGTTTACTGCACTTGTGACTAAAGATGTCGGCAGTTCAGAGTGTAACCAACACGACAGCGCTGCAGCAACGTTTCTGGTGTTTGTGGTCTTCAGACTGCATTTAACTTTTACATCACAAATAAAACAAAAACATCTCTTCTGCAAGTGTCCTGTGGGGTTAATCATTTAAATATAACCTTGATGAAAAGAATCGAGTCATTCTGATGCGTCTGAGGAGTTTTTCTGACTGTTCTGAAGTTTAAATCTGAGATTTTGCCATCTGGTTTTAAAATAACCTTTCTGAAGAGACAAAGCTGTAGAGTCAGAGTCTTCTTTCAAATCACTTCTCAAAACACATTTATACAGACCGGCTTTTACGTGACATCGTCCCCGTTACTCTTTTCTACTCAATACGACGACGTCTTTGGTGATTCATTGTTTTAGTTGCATCAGTTTGTGTTTGTTGTGTTTATTTATTTAATTATATTGAAAGTCTGTATTTTGCTTCTTTCTATTTTATTTTATTTTATTTTTTTACTGCATTTAACTTTTTATAGACTTTACGTTCCTCTGTTCATCCAACTTTCTTTGACTTGTCTGTAAAGCACTTTGTAAACTCTCTTTTTATGAGGTTCTATACAAATAAAATTATTAATAATAACATTTAAAGCAGAGTGTCGGAGCTGCTGTCACTTTTATGGCAAAGTTATTGATTGAATTAACGCTTTACGTTGCAAACATTGTTCTGATGTATGGCGTCAACGTAATAATGCTTTATATGTAATAAATACGTGGAATATGTAATAAATAATATTAGCTTGATAACAATTGATTCCAAGCGTAAAAACATGTATTTAGGTTTGTTGGTGGAACGCAATTTCATTAGAAGCTGTCACAACTCAACAAGACTAATGCAAACCGTCACGTTAATACAGAGTTGTTTCCTTTTACAAACAGACCTTCAACAATGATAAGTTTATTAGACTTTTATCATAAAAGTTGAATAATTGAAGCATCTTCAAAAAGTCAAGAAGAAACTTCTAATTTAACACATGATGTTTAAAAACAAGTATAAAACTGTAAAAACGTCTCACTAGATTATTTAGTGCATTTTATGTTTACTATTAATACCAAGCAGCTGGAAACCTGCATCATGTGAGCTGAACTGGTCTTTACAGCTGCGTTAAATGGTAGAAGCAGATGTTTTGGTTGTACCGTAGGACACAGAGCAGGTACAGTAGCACAGAGACATGAGGGTAATTGGAAAAGAGATTATTACTTTATGATTGTCTGACCCAGATTTCACCAGCTGAGCTGAGCTGCATTAAACTGCAGCTATGACTTACATGTGAGCAGCTAAGTTCAGATGCTATAATAATCATTTAAAAAATAAATGTGAGCAGCTAATGTTGGAAAAGGTTGCTGTTAGCATAAAAATAAAGCTTAGGTGATATGTTAATTTTGTAAACTTTAAATGTGGGCAGCTAATGTTGCTGTTAGCATGAAAATAAATTTTAGATGGTTTATTATTTAGTACAGAATTACACGTGAGCAGCCAATGTTGTAAAATGCTGCTATTAGCATACAAAAACAAAGCGTAGGCTGTGCAATAATTATGTAAAAATCATATGTGAGCAGCTGATGTTGGAGAAAGTTGCTGTTTTTCCATTTTCCCAACATTAGCTGCCCACACATCAGAATCCAGGGTTATAGAAAACTGCTGTTAGCTTGCGGCTAACGTTAGCCGGATAAAGACCGAGTGAGGAGAACATTTACCTGCTAACTGCGACACGAACGCATCCGCCGCCAGAGACATGTCGCTGCGAACACGGCTGGAGTGAAAACCTGCACACGGATCAGGTCAGTGCAGCTGCAGACAAGTTTAAGGACAACGGCTTGTTCGGCTGTCACCCACCGGTCCGGCCGCGATTAGCGTCCGTATGGGAAACTCTGACTCCGGTTTTTGGTTCCACTTGACCAGCGCACAGGAATGAATCTCTAAATATAAATTATATAAATAACTACACAGTACACAACGTGGAATATTGCTATATGAATTGTAATGATTTTTATTTCAGGGGTTTTGCGCTTTACGGTCCGACCCTGAAGTGAAACTTCTTCTTCTCCTGCGGTCAGACTGGACGCAGGAGAAGCGCGCTGCTGCCTCCTGCAGGCCGTTTGTAGAACTGCTCAGTTAAACCATCACCCTCAATGGTTCACACCCCGGTGGTTCACACCCCTGTTCTCACTGTTCCCTCAGGAAAGAGGTACCGGTCTATCAAAGCCCACACATCCAGACTCACCAACACATTCTACCCAAGTGCAATACAGGTACTGAACACACATTGGTCTATAGTCTGTACTATTTATAACATATATTTATTATTTATACGACACTATACTATACTATACTATACTATACTATACTATACTATACTATATTATAATTATGTTTTAATTACTGTATATTCTACTATATTTTTGTATATATTTTATATATATATATTGAATTATTTTTAATAATTATTTATTTATATTATTTATATTTCTCATATATCTACAGTGTTCCTACCTCAACAGTGCAATATATTTATTCTACCGCTTGGCTAACTGTATATACTTTCCTTTTGTAAATATACAAAAAATACATATGCTTCTTTTCTTCTCCTTCTCCTCTTCCTCCTCCTCCTCCTTCGTCTTCTTCTTCTTCTTCTTCGTCGTCGTCTTCTTCTTCTTCTTCTGCTGCTGCTGCTTGTGCTTTAGTGCTTGTGCTTTTTTTCTTCTTCTTCGGCTGCTGCTGTCAGAGGGCCGTCCTTCCAGTTCAAACTGACCAATCAGACCAGAGCTCTGGAGGGGAGTTGATAAAGTTCACAGCAGCAAAACGAGATTTTCTTCAGATTCTTGAAGCCACAACGTCTCAGTTCATAGAATCACAATCAGTCACCAACACTGAAGATTTACAATAAACACAACACTTTTTTCCCCCCTTAGAGTTATTTTTTTTGGCCTTTGTTTGATCGTGAAGTGAGAAAGAGACAGGAGGACATGTAGGAAAGGGTCATGAGCGGGATGCGAACTGATGATCTCCACATCGGGACTGTAGCCCTGCACATAGGACGCCAGCTCAACCAGGTGAGCTATAGCGGCGCCCTAATAAACACAATACTTGTTCTTGCTTCTGTAACTGCTTGAATTTCCTCACGGATCCTTTGTCCAATCAGATTTGAGGTTTGCTCATCTACCAATAAGAGAGCAGGTTTTGAGGCGCACTTCCTCTTTAGGCTCCAGAACAAGATGGCTGCCACAGCTCAGACAGGTGAGGACTTTCAGAGTTTAATTTCCTTTTAACAAGCTGTTTGTTGTATTCAAACGGATAAATGTGACTTTAAGGAGCAGGAATGTTCAGTCTGCTGCCTCTGGAGAGCTGAATAAAGTCAGCACAATGATGGGATATATGTTCATTTTTCTGCATAAATGGCCTCTAATATGTTAAGAGGACGCTGGTACCTCAAAACTATTCATCCTTTGGTTTGAATTTCATCCCAGTGAGATTACAGCATCTTCTAGCAGACATGGAGGAGTATTTTAATCATTCTACACAAGCAATGAATGTTTACGGAAACTCTAAATGTCTAAGTCGATGGCAGAAAAATAACTTCAGGTTTATTTGCACTCTGAAAGTTACATCAAGACGACGGTTAGTATTAAGTGCATTGTTAAAGATTTAAATTATTTGATTTAGAAAACCTGGTAAGTTGCAGACATTGTTTTGATGAGTTTTACAGACAGATAAAGCAAAATAAAAATACAAAAAAAACCTTTGAATTGTCGAGGAAAAGCTTTCCTTTAGCTCAGTTTAGTTCGCTGGTTAGATATAATTTAATTTGACTTTGTCTGAACTCTGAAAGATTAGTGCAAACTGATGTTAATGTGCCTTTGAGCCTAAACAGTTGTTTTTTTAAAGTGTAAAATCCAGACACTGAGTTACGGTTTTGTGGCGTCATAATGTTCCAGCTGAGAGTTGATTTCAGTGGATGATGTGATTTTGCAGCGTTGCTCCGGGAGGCTGTGTTGTTCTTGTTTAGACTGGAATATTGGCAAAGGGCAATTATTTAACAAATGCTGGGACAAAAACATCAAAAATGAAGCGTTGTGGTTCTACAGAGACGAATCAGATTCTCCAGATGCTGCTGCTGCTGCAAAAAAAAAAACAGTTTTATTTTTATTCAGTTGAAGAAAGATGAAAATCATAAGAGGTGTCAAAATATGTGTATAATCACATTAAGACTTGTTTATTTGACATATAATCCTCTTCATGTTGAGCTCAGTTCTGACTGCATGCAGCTGGTTTCATGTGACAGGTGGACAAAATACCAGAAACACCTCAAACATACATCTGAGGTTTGATATAAACTGAAACCTGTAATCTTTGGAAACCGTCTGCTGTTGAATCCACAGAATTCCGTGTTAGTCTCTGATCTGCTGCTGTTGTTGTTTTATTGCTCCTCAAGCTGCAAAACGAACCAGACATTGATTTGTAAGTTGTTTTCTCAAACTGGCATCATTTCAGGGTTCTGATTTCTCTCTTATGTCCCAGGCTGCAGGTCTCGGTGCCGCCGGCGGGGGGCGTCATTGCTTCATCAGTGGAAACCACAGTCTATGGTGGAAACAGGCAGGTTCCTAACACACACGAACACAAACATCTTCGTAAACATGGACTGAGACAACAAACAGATCAGATTAAACCGCATAACTGAGAAACAAAAGCTGCACAGTGATGATGTTCCTGCATTTAATCTGTCATTATTACATTTAAATAAATAGACTTTTAGGAAAAAAGCACAATATATAGATTACAATCGAGCCTGTGCACAGAATAAGATCAGATATTAAACTCCAGATTCATAGTTTGAAAGAAAATAGCCCAAAACTGTAAATACGGTCTTTACAAAATGTAGAATTGTGCGTGTTTCCAGGTATTTTGTGGTGAATTTACGACCATTTATGAACTAAAGTGATGTTACTGCGTTAAACTACGCACTTGTTTCTATACTGAATAGAATTTCTAATATTTTTATGGTGTTTTCTGTTGTTCAAGTCAGAATCCGATTATATTATGCGAATGTCAACGTGTGATATATTTTTCTTGCATTTGTTTTAAATTGAGTTACAACAAAGTAGGAAACGCTTTAACTGTTTGATATCTATAAACTATATTTTAGGTCATGTAGAAACTGTTTATTTAGCAGTTTTTAAAAACTTATTATGATTTGTTTAATACAATCCAAGTGTTTTTCTGGCATCGTTGCTGACGTAGCTTTCCCCCCCTGCTGATGCCACATTTCCACGTTTTGTTTTGTTTTTTTTTTCCAAATGCATCTGGTACCTTTGTATTTTTGTATCCCGATTTTCTACGTTTCGCTATTTTCCTTATTTACGTGCAAAGCTTCTGCAGCTTTTAGTTTGAGTGAATCTGTGTGTGCTCTCCTTCGCGGTGCATCTCCAGAGTGTGATAGATCTGCAGGCCGCCGTTCGTCAACCCGCCGGGCCTCTCCTGCAAATGGAGCCGCGTCTCCACCGGATGCCTCCAATTAATGGCTCTCAGCGCTCGTTTCCCTCAAATATCAACGCTCAGTCACTCAGTGTTTCCAGACGCTCCAGAGGACTTTGCAGTGACTTACATTAGTTTCCTGCTGCTTTAGCGAACACCGAGCCGCAGTCAGACCTCAACCTAAACCTAACCTCAAGTCTGCACTCTGACAGTTCATGATTTACGCTACGAGGTCTTTGGTTTTGTCTCCAAAAGGGAGGCGGCTCCTAAAATGTAAACTGATTTATGTCCCTACCACACACACACACACACACACACACACACACACACACACACACACACACACACACACACACACACATTCCTTTTGCCCTATATGTTGTCCTTGTGCGCTGTGCGTAAACGGTGCGTAAACTGTGCGTAAAAGGCGCATATGAGACCCAGTTCCAAACAGACATGAAAATATGATGTGGCAGTAAACTTTAACAGTGTCTGAGATTATATATTTACATTCCAGCAGCTTCAGAAAAAAAAACCACCAGGATAGTTTTAAAGATTCTGTGATTGATTGGGAGCTGCATCGTCTTTGTAATCACCGTTTAGGAGCCGAAACAATTTAAAATCTGCAGAAGCTGCTCAGTTGAGCCATGACGCACCACATGTTGGTCTTGGCTCAGCTCGGCTCACTTTGTTTCCTTAAACAAAGATCGTGTCGCCCGCCGAGAATCGCTCTTAAATTTTATGATTGAACAGATACTGATAGTAAAGAGGGACTGTTTTTACGCACAGCGGTTTCAGTGGAGATAAACCTTTATCGGTGTAATTATATCACACACACACACACGTTCATTTATAGTTTTTATTTTTTTTCTCGTCTATTTTATCAAAACATTAGCACATATAAAATTTTTACAGTTTTTTTCCTTTTCAAAAACGAGCACAAACGTACAAAAGAACCTCGATGAAGCTGCTACAGAGAATAAAATGTGCTTCTAAATAATACAAAGTAAGTACTGGCGTAATGCTGTAATAATAATATATCATATCAATAGCATATTAAACTGGAATCAAAGACAACACTTTTATTTCAGAGGAAATTTCTTTTCTTCAACCCTGTAGCCCTGAGAAAAGAAGCTGATTTACAGTCGCTGCTGCGCATCAAAACCCTCTCGTTTGGACGAATTTCCTCAGAATCTTTTCGACTAGAGAACAGAAATGTGCGCGTATGGCTCCGCTCCTCTGTACAAATCAAACAGTCTCAACATTTTGGTCATGTGCATTTTCATAAATTCCTTCTTTTAGGTAGCTCTGATAAAAACCCTGTTTGAATATTTACCCTGTAGAACAACAAAAACCCTGTTTTCTCCAAAAAGACGCGCTCTGTCCTCGGCCTGCGCAGTTGTTTAAATGTGAAACCAGAAACGTTCGCTGCTGAATCAAACCTCAGACTGGATTTAGATTTTAAATCTGGAGGACAAAAAAAATATTTAAAGCTGGTTTGTGGGGGTTTTGGTGATAAACGGTCACACGGTGATTCCCGCCTTCACGGTGTCTCCGCCGCCGCCGCTGCTGCTGCTGCTGCTGCTGTTGTTGTTGTTATTGTTATTGTTGTTGTCCCGCTTGCTCTTGCTGCGTCCTTTGGTGTTGGGAAGCTTGTTGTCCTTCTTCCAGCGCATGCGCCGGTTCTGGAACCACACCTTCACCTGCCGCTCGGACAGGCAGAGCGCGTGGGCCACCTCGACGCGGCGGCGGCGCGTGAGGTACCGGCTGAAGTGGAACTCCTTCTCGAGCTCGAGGACCTGCTGGCGCGTGTAGGCCGTGCGCAGGCGCTTCGGTTCCGGACCCACGTGGTTCGGATTCACTGCAAACAGAGAGAATGAAAACGTTATTCTCACGGCAGTTTAATTTAATTTTAGTTTTTATTTTCAATTTCCCATTTCTATAACAATTTTATATAATAATAATATTTACCATTTATACAAATAAAAACGAATTTCTCTTTCTACATTTTTATTATTGCGGATATTGACATTATTTTTGTGGCTTGAGCCTACATCTGTGGCGCACTGGGAGCTGGTTTTTACTGCTAACTTGCAGCTTTTTGTTCATTGCGCGCACACATTATCTTACACACACACACACACACACACACACACACACACACACACACACACACGCACTCTGCTGCAGGGCCATAAAACTTTATGGGGTCGTAATTCTCGCTGACTCTCACTGAGCTCGTAAATAACTCGACAACAAAAAGCGGCTCCCAAATGGACCAGAAACACACAAACACAGACAGAAACACGCGCACAGATGTACACACACACACACACACACACACACACACACACACACACACACACAGACAGATGAAGGTGGACCGGCTCTCACCATGCGCTACGTGCACCTTCTTCATCCAGGGGTAAACCACCACCGGCGGCCTCTCTCTGTTCTGACACGCCGCCTTCCGCTGCACCTGAGCGGGCTTGTTGCAGGTCATCCAGGCCGGGCACTGCTGCAGGTCGCCCACTGGGAGCCGGTCCTTCCCGGGGCCGGCCGGAGCCTCCCTGCAGGCCGGGTAGAGCGCGCCGTGGTGCCGCTGCTCGCCGTCCTGCGCAGACGGAGGATAGCCGGTTTGTTGTGGTGCGTACGGAGGCGGAGGGGGCTGCACGGGCGGGTACCCCCCTCCGTAGCTGCCGCCGCTGTCCTGGGGGCTGCTGTAATACCCCCCCTGGTCACTGAAATTACTGTAATCTTCTTCACAAGGCGGGAACTGCGGCTCTGCGTATTTACAGCTCAGCACGAACGACTCCATGATTGATTTATAGCGCGGCTGCTCGCAGAATACTAATTTTTCTTTCTGGCCCTCGGTTCGTGTCGGTGTTGCCCCTCTGGCATGCGGCCATCCTGCGCCTGTCAAATAGACGGACGGCCGCGCGGGACACGTGACCCGGCGGCCAGCCAATGGGAGGCGGCCTGCTTGTTTATGCTGGACGTGATGGGATCGTTTGAGGAGAGAAAGTTAATGAAGATGTTCTGATTCTGAAACACGTCGCTGGAAAACAACAAGCTGCAGCAGCCCAACACACCTGATCGAACCTATCGATACACCTATTGATCCGCCCCTCCCCCTCCACCTACTGAGCACTGTAGATCTGTGACCCCCCCTCCCCTCTGACTTCTCCCCCACAGCTGAAAAATTAATGTGGCCCATATTGAGGCCGGCGGACCCATATTTGGCCTTGTGGAGGGTCAAAGGACGCGCAACAAAACGCGGCGCTCAGAAAAGCCTGGAGCAGAAAGAAAAGAGATAAAAGGCTCCAGACAGTGACTAGTGTTCGGCTTTGTTCGGCCCGGGGTCAGGCCCAGGGTCCCCGAGCAGGCCGGCCTCTAAAGGAGCAGCAGGAGAAAAAAATGATGCCAAACAGAGAAACATGCGACAGGAGCAGAAAAAATGGAGCAAACGGATAAAAAGCTGAAAGAGAGGAGCGAGAAAATCAAAAAAAATCTAAAGTGACTTAATGAGTTTTTGTGGTCAAAACGCTCCATCAGACGTCAGGAGCCTGAAAGGGTCATCTGCTGAGAAGCCCATAAATCCTGGTTTCATGGAGGATCTCAGAGAAGATGCTGCTGCAGTCAGACATCAGGGAGGGTCTGCTTTAAAGCTTTACAATAGAATAGAATAGAATATCCTCTTATTAGTCCCACCAGAGGAACGTTTTGGCTCCGAGAGGAGAACTAATGAACAAACTGCAGCAGCTTGATCTGATCTAATGACTCGTTTGTTCATAATCACTGATAAGAAACCAGAGAAGCAATAAAACTGTCAGATCTCACTCCGTTTATTTAAAGCCTCGTTCACCACTTTATTAAAAACAGGACAGAAAGCTGTGACTGATTTAAATGAACTAAAAGGTTTGTGTCGACATGAAAATGTTGCATCAACCGAATATTCTGAGTCTTTAAACTCTGATTTTTTTATCATCAGCTGTTTAAAATCTAGATTCAAGTTGAGAACTGGCTTCAAAACTTCAGTATTTTAAATTTTCAGTTTGAGATTTTAAGTTCTCCCCCTGAACACTGGAGCAGCTTATTTATTTATTTTAATTTTTTTTAAAATGAAAATGGTCTAATTATTGTAATGAAGTGAAAAAAAGTCTTTTAAATGTGGAGAAACTAGTTGGAACAACTTAATATAAATAATCAACTTGTAAACTTGTGTTTCTGCTACAGATCATTAAATATTTAAAATAAAATGTGATTAATAGTGAAAAAGTTCTTTCTTCCAACTCAGTTTGTCAGTTAAACATAATTTTATTAGAAGTTGTTTGAAACAGATGCAAACTGCTTCAATCTTTAAATGATCTTTTATGGTTTCCCTGATTTTCAGTCGATACAGACGATAACTCATAAAATCACACAAAATGGTTTTAACATGATTTAACAGAAACAAACAAAACAAAAAACAGGCCAAAACTGTTTCACATAATTCATTATTCAGTTTTTTGCAGCGATTTTATTCTAAATTTAATCCCATTTCTGTTCTGAAGGGAGTTTATTTTGTTAAACTAAATGGGCAGAAAGTAGCAGTTTGGGTGGAATAAACCTTTAAAAGTACAATCATTTGGGTGGAATGTAGTATTTTGGGAGGAATATACTTTAAAAAAGTCTAATTAACTGGACCGAGAGTAGTATTTTTGGTGGAATAAACCTTTTAAACCTCAGTGTATTTAGGAGCACTTGGGTCGTCAGCTGGCTGTTGGTTCAGAAGCTTCAGAGGTTCTGAGGGTTTTGGAGGTGAACTGATCAGTTCTCTGCCTCAGACTGATACAGGCTGTAGAACCAGCAGCGACTTCACAGTGATCCAGTCCGGTCCGGTTTGTTCCTTCAGCTGCTCTGCAGTCGGCGCCTCGCTGAAGCAGCAGCAGCAGCAGCGCCGGTTTCCTCCTCGTCTGAAGTCAGTCGTCGCCCATAGACTCCCCTAGAACCCAATCTGTGACCGAGGCAGCTCCACACACATTCGGTTCTACAGGGTATTCATGGACGAAGGTTCTGAGGACTGTTCTGCTGCTGAGGCCCGTTTACACTCAGAGGATGGACGAGACCAGAATCACTAAGTTCTGCTTCACTCACGGTTTAATTCAGCTGCTCTTGGTTCTGTTGGATCCAGCTCGTGTCTGGACACATTCACACAGTTTGTGATACCTTTGGACAATTTAAACTCGTTTTGAACTCATTTCCAGTCATTCTGGACAATTTTAAGTCATTTTGACACATTTCCAGTGGTTTTGGACAAATTTCTATTAGTTTAGGTTAAAATTTGTTTAATTTTTTGACAAATTTTAACAACTGTTGGACAAATCTTGAATCATTCTGGGTGAACCTTACACAGATTTTGGAAACATTTGAGTTAATTCGGACAAATCACAAGTCATTATGGACATTTTTACCAGTTTTGGACACATTTTGAACCGTTCTGAGCAGCTTTAGACAACTTTTAGCTTGTTTGGACTTGTTTTGAGTCATTTTCGGCAAAGGTTATGTCATTAGGACACATTTTAAGTAACTTGAATACATTTTGCATCTTTTGGGACAATTTCTAATTTGTTTTGGTCAAAATTTGAGTCGTCTTCTGCCCTCATGCAGCCCCATATCATGATGCTGCCACCTCCGTGCTTCACTGTCAGGACCATGCATCCACTGTGGTGGTCCTGGTCAGGTTCATACCAAACATCTGGACTCCATCTGAGCCCAACACATTCATCTTCATCTGACCAGAGAACGTTCTCCAACATCCACCAGGCTTCTGTTCATGTTCTGCAGCAAACTTTACTGGCAAAGACATGCAAGGACGACCACTGCAGCCCTGATCAGAGCTACTATGGCTCCTTCTGGACCTCCTGGTTACTGCTCACACTGGGCTGCACTGGGTTTTGGCTGCTCACTGATCTTCTGGATCCTTTTCCATCTTTGTCAAGTCTCTCAGTCAGATGTTTCTCCTCCTCTGTTCAGGTCTTCTCCATGTGGAGCCATGATGCAGACATAGATAGACACAGTCCATAGGTCCAGAACTGAGCTGTTCTCAGCTCGTTGTAGAACCATGTTCATGCAGGTAGACTGATGGAAACCACAGCTGGACTCAGTTTGGTTCTTAGAGTTTCTACTTCTGGGCCTGAATTTTGAATCAAGTCCTTCTAGTTGTTGTTGTTTCTTACGGTTCCAGTGTTGTTGACTGTAATCGGAGCATCATGGAGGCGTCTACCAGCTTCTGTAATGAGGTTCATGAGGTTTGTTTTGCAGCTCGGTGGGAAGAGGATCCACAGAACATAACAACAGGAGAGGGTCACTCATCTCCCACCGGAAGGAGAGTAAATCTGCTGCAGAGGGCACACGAGGTAACTGTTGGTAAACACCAGCGGAGCAGTGATGGAGGCTGACAGGAGCTACAACCAGCAGGCTTTAGTTCTAATATCACTGCTAACTAAACGTCTCTTCATATGAGCCACGTCTGGAAAATGCTCCGTGTTCACCTGGTTCTGGTTGAACAGTGCTTTTTTTTTTCTAGTTCCCTCCAGCCGGCTCTGGGTTTTTGGATCAGCTGATCTGCTGCCAGAGCTGCTGGTAAACAAAGACGTGAGCAGAATCTGAACAGAAGCTTCTGGTTCTGATGGACCAAATCTGAACGTCTCATTTGCTGATGTTGGTCCACAGCTGCTGTCAGTGTTTATGATCCAACATCTGCAGTCAGAACCTCAAGTTCTAGAGGTTCTAAAGTCAGAAACATTAACGTCACTCAGACTGCTGCTGCTGAAATGGACCAAAATAAGAAACGACTGTTAACCAATAGAAAAAAAAATAGGAAGCTGATGAAAGTATTTCTATAAATAGACGTTTTATGACTCATAAGATTTATCTAAGTTTTAGTTTGTTAGTTTATTTTTCAATGTTTAATGAAATAATTATATTTACAGAAATCAAAAATGTTTCTTTGATTCCTGCTATAATTACTGTTTTTTGTTTAGTTGTTGTTTAACAGTGAGCATTAACACGTTGTTGGTATAACTGGCTCAGATTTTATCATAAAAAATATTTATATTTAGAGTTTTCTCCTCCGTTTGAGCTCCATGGTTCTCCTGAACAATGTTAAGTTTACTCTCTGGTCCTTTAGATCTATTTTATTTCTAAGATCTAAACAGCTCAGAAATCATTTACAAACTAAAACGTGTGTTTTTGAGGTATTTTGTAATAGTTTGACACAATATCAGTTACTGTGCGTTTTATTTTTATTTAAATAAGAATTTACACATTCAATTTATTTTGCTGTCTAAAGAGTCATAAGAACTGTGGTCCATTAATTAATTTTTACAAATGTAAATCTTTTTTATTAAACATTAAAAAGCAACAAAATACACAGAAACTCACATGAAAGTGTGAAAAATGTACAAATATCCAAATATGTTCCTGTTTACGAGACATAGTTTGATCTGAATATAATTCTACTTGTTTAGTGTCTCTGCTGCAGCTTTTTGATGTAAATGATTTAAACATCACGTTTTAGTCCAAAGTTTTGTCCTAAAAGCTGATTGACTGTAAATGAATTGTCAGTAATTA